ACCTAAACATAATGTCCCAGAGGTATTTTATTGGAGCTGGGTGAGCTTGGTGTCATTTGTATCAGGTCCTTCATTCTCCATGAACTGCTTGTGTTCTCTCAGCACATGAAGTCCAAGTGCAGCTGTAAGACACGTAGTTACAGAACGTTTCACACAAACCTGCTCCTGGTGCTGTCTTCACTGCTCCGCTATGAATTCATGCAGCGCGTGTGTAAGTGTGTGTGTAAGTGCGTGCGTGTGTGTGTGTGTGTGTGTAAGTGCGTGCGTGCGTGTGTGTGTGTGTGTGTGTGTGTAAGTGCGTGCTTGCTTGCGTGTGTAAGTGTGTGTGTGCGTGCGTGTGTAAGTGTGTGTGTGTGTGCGTGCGTGCGTGCGTGCGTGCTTGCTTGCGTGTGTGTGTGCTTGTGTGTGTCTGTGAGAGAGAGTTGTGATTAATGGGTTGGATTCATGAGCTCTCTCCTTGTTTCTGCTTCTCCTGGCAGGCCTGGATCTTCCCCTCAGCTCTCACATGACGACACGCACACGCGGATCGAGCACTATGCCAACCGGTAACATGACTGCAAACAGCAGTAGATTTATGTTTGTAATGTTTTGGGGGTTTTTGCATATTTGTTACAGTTACAGGTTCGAATCATCAACCACATTTTAATGCTAGAGAAAGATAACCTGAGTAAATATAAAATGCAATCTTTGAATTACAATTTCAAATAAAGAAAAAAGCTTTTCAGAGCCTCCTGCCTCTATGTGAGATGCTAATCCCCCCCTAAACCTAATAACTGGTTGTGCTGCTCTTGGCAGTGAGAACTGTAATTAAGCATTTGCAGTAACTGGTAAGGAGGCTTCCACTGGCCCACTCTTCTTTTCAGAATTATTCTAATTCAGCTGCATCGGAGGGTCACAGGGCCAACACACTCAGGCAAGACAGATCCACACCCACCTTTGCACCTATGGCGCGTTAACCTAGCCCTGTTAAGTGCATGTCTTTGGACTGTGGAAGGAATTTGGAGTAACTTAAGCAGATGTAGGAGGTGCATCCAAACAGATAGTGGATTTGAACCCAGGACCTGCTGCGAGGCAACAGTACAGCTTCCATCAAAAACATTGTTTCCAAACAGTTTTTGCCTTTTGCCTCGTCAGGAGAAAGACTTAGTTGGATGTGCAACCAGCTTTGACAGGGAGGCATTTGGATCAAACAACATTTCCATAGGGAAAAAAATCCATGCAATGCATAATTCTAACCATACGCACACAGTACATTAGCAGAGAACTGTGACCACAGGAAAAATGCAAAAACAGAGGTAAGCAGGGGAGATAGTGGCTCACAGCTGGGTGTAAACACACAACATTTCCATTTCTTTTGCAATTTTCCAGTAGCTTCACAAACTGGTGAATGAACTCTTTTAAGTTTCAAATAAACGTGAAGTGAAAGTCCAACCGCTCAGTGTCCTCGTCAGCCAGGCTAGTTACCATGATTGCTGCAGAAGCACTAAACTACTGTGAACTGAATAAACGGAGTTTGCACTGCAAACTGTAATACGGCCAATTAAGTTTTTCATTCTACCAAACTGTATAGATTAGTGCAAGTTGTAGTTGAGGGGTCTCGTTTGAATGCAGCTGACCTGGGTCTGGACCCCCCAATGATTCAACGAGGGAGGGCATCTATTTTTTCACATGAGGCCAAGCAGCTGGGCAGCTTTTTTCCCTTAACAAATGAAATCATGCTGCTCTGTCTTTACTCTGGTTATCTTTCTGATACACTGCTCATGCTGGATATCTATACTAAAAAGGACTGGTTAATGTGTTAGCAAATAAAGGATGCCATATATTTTAATGTAAAGGAAAAACGATCGACCTACAGAGGGCTGCATTGAAAGACACCCCAAAAATCGAGTGAACGAACGATGCAACAGGCTCGTCCATTGTGCCGATATTTCAGTGCAGCCGTTCAGAATGTGGAAGAGTAGTCTGTAAGCCCCCCGTGTGCC